TCAGGCTGGTCTCAAACCCCTGGGCTCAGGCAATTCTCTTGCTTTGGCCTTCCAAAGTGCTGGGATTACAGGTGTGAGCCACTGTGCCTGGCCGGATTTATTTTTATATTTCGAACTGTACTCACATTCCAAGAACAAATCCCACTTGGTCATGGTGTATAATCCTTTTAATATGCTGCTGAGTTCAACTTCTCAGTATTTTCTTGGGGATTTTTGCATCAGTGTTCATAAGAGATACTGGTCTATGTTTTTCTTTTCTTGTGGTATTATTGTCTGGCTTTGGTTTCAAGGTTGTATAGGCCTCATAGAATGAATTTGGAAGTGTTTCCTCCTCTTCTGTTTTTCTTGGAAAAATTTTAGAAGCATTGATGTTAGTTCTTTAAATGTTTGGTAGCAATCAGTGAAGCCATGAACTCAAGGATGTTTCTTTGTTAGGAGGTTTTTGATTATTGATTCAATCTCTGTACCAGTTAGAGGCCTATTCAGATTTTCTATTCTTTGTGATTCAGTCTGTTGAGGTAGTTTGTTCTTCTTTTTCCTAAGTATCTTCCTCTTCTTCTTCTTCTTCTTCTTTTTTTTTTTGAATCAGGCTCACTGTTGCCTGGTCTGGAGTGCAGTGGTATGATTGCAGCATCGACCTCCTGGGCTCATGCAGCAGTCTTTCCACCTCAGCCTCCCAAGTAGCTGGGACTATAGGCATAAGCCACCAAGTTTTTTATTTTCTGTAGGGACAAGGTCTCACTATATTGCCTAGACTGGTCTGAACTCCTGAGTCTAAGTCCTCTTGCCTCATGCCATCATGAACGTTGTCTCTAATTATCTTCTAATTTCCTTTGTGATTTCTTCTTTGATTCATTGGTTGTTTAAGAGTGTGTTGCTTAATTTCCACAAATTTGTGAATTTTAATATTTTCCTTCTGTTACTGATTTCTGACTTTACCCTCTTATGGTAGGAGAAGGAGAAGATACTTTGTATGATATCAGTCTTAATTTGTGGCCTACCATATCCAGTGAAAATGTAACCAGATGATGAAATGGTGAAACTTTATAGACCTAAGGCATGATTCAACTCTTAATCTTACTACAGAATTTCAGAAATAAGAATGTAACTTTAGGTATCATTCTTAATGATATCTCATTACATTTTGAAATGATACCAGTATTTTTATGATAGTGAAAGAGATTATCGCTTATGAAATATCGAACCAGTGACCTTAGCTATTCAGTTATGATGAAAGGCCCAATCTAACCTTTTATTGAATGTGATATTTATTAAAAATGAAACTTCTCATTTCCATTACTTAATCAATAGCACATTAAGCCATTTATTAATATGATTAAAGAATGTGTTGCAGACTAGATATTCTGCTCCTTTGTCAACTAGCTTAATTTTAATAGCCAGGAAATAGCAGTCTAACCTAGAATCAGTCACATCTGTCTAATCCTGTACTTGTAACTATAAAAGATATAGGAAAGAATAATTAAAACGTTCAGAAAGAAAATAATTTGTTATGACTCTTTATGAAAAAAAAAAACAAACCTTTTTACATCGTCATGTAAGTAAACCTACTGGAGAAGCAGATATATTTTATTTTCTCATTATATATGTTTAAAGCTCTGGGATTTGATACAGGTGGTGTATTGGTATGTGTAGCAAGAAATGCATTGCATAATTAAAGTTGGCAAGGAAAAAATCCTGGAGCAAGAAAAATAAAAAGGAGATGATGCGGAGATGGACATAGTGAGGCCTGTCTCTCCTAGGGAGTGTCGTATTTTTTATTGAAATTGAGTATACTCATAGAGCTGGGTGCGGAGCCTCATGCCTGTCTGTAATCTCAGTACTTTTGGGAGGCTGAGGTGGGGGAATTACTTGAGCCCAGGAGTTCGAGACCAGTCTGGGTAAGACCTCCTTTCTATAGAAAATAAAGAAAGTTAGCCAGATGTGGTAGCAAGCACCTGTTGTCATAGCTACTCTGGAGGCTGAGGTGGAAGGATCTCCTGAGCCCAGGAGGTTGAGGCTGCCGTGAGCTGTGATTGTGCCACCGCACTCCAGCCTGAGTGAGACCCCAACTCAAAAGAAAGAAATAGAATGTACCTACAGAAGATGGTGATTTCACAGGCGCACAGCTTGTGAATTTCCACAGCAGGATCTTTCATGAACTTCTTATTGCCCTCGCATCAGGGCAACACCTCCCACAGTTCCAGTTTCAGCACTGGAGCTGCCAGAGTGATACCAAAATTGAGTTGCGATGATAATAGCTGAGGTGGTTATAGTCCTACTATGTGTGAGACTTTATATAAGCACTTCTTGGTATGTTGTCTCAATTATGCTTCCCAGTGATGGAGAGGCACTATTGTCCATAGTTTTCAGATAAGGAAACAAAAGATCTGAAAAGAGCTCCAGTTTGTAGATTTTGCTGCATGTTGGGCATGTGTGAAGCACTTTATAGAGTCGCTCTCTCATTTCGTTCTCACACTGGCCCTGAGAGGTGTTACTGCCCCTTTTACAGATGAAAGCTACGAGGTCAGAGGCTCAGAGCTGTCACAGAGCTTGGAGCATCAGCTCTTGTGTCCACACATAACCTGCACCCTTAACCACCACAGTGGAAGGTTGGTGTCTCCACTCATAGAAAACCAGGTGAATAACCAGATGGAGAGAGGGGAAGGCAGTCAGCTCAACATTGTTCCAGAGTATAATTCCCAAAGGCTATACCAAGAGAAGATGGAAGAAAGAGATGAGCAGTGGACTGGGCAGACATCTACCTGATTCTTGGAGGAGCAAGGGGACACCCATTCAGCAAAGCCCTTGGCCCTGTCCCGATGGAGCGGTTGAAGAAATCTGCAGGAAGCCCTGTTTTAACATAGCCATTGGGGCAGAGTGCCTCTGTCCACATGAGCCCTCCTCAGCTTGCTTAAAGCACAAGCTGAGAGGCTCTGGTCTAGCTGTTTCCTTTCTGAATAACAGTTGTGTCAAGTTGGAGACGAGAAGGCTTCTGGAGGTCATCCGCACAGCCACCCCCTCCTCAGACGAGGCTGGCCCGGCCTAGAGGTGAGGAGATTGGCCAAGGGTGGAACCGAGGCCCCACCACAGCCTCTCCTCTTGTGCGTGTGCAGCCGATGGGCCATTCCCCTCTGTGTCTTTCCAGTCACGTTTATTGCCTTCCTCTCGGGGTCCTTCAGAATTTCCTGGTTAGAACCTCTGATAAACTTGCACAAATGTTCTGGTTTTCTAGCATCTGAATAACTTAATCCTGTAGAAGATATTTACATTTCCTGCTAAAAATTATTACTGAAGTACAGTAAAGTTTTACTTTTTTCTTTTTTTCTTTTTACTATTATTTTATTTTTTGTGTAGAGACAGGGTCTTACTCTGTTGCCCAGGCTGGTCTTGAACTCCTGGTGTCAAGCAAGTTCTGCCTCAGCTTCCCAAAAGTGCTAGTATTGCAGGCATGAGCCACCATGCCCAGCTCCTTTTTTTGCTGAAGAAAAGTCTTGTTAGTCCTCGATTGAAAGATAAAAAGTTGTGAAAACTGTAGGAAATATTGAGTAGCATTTTCCTTTGGTCTCTGTGGCCTCCTTCCTTGAGGATCTGCGTTCCAGAACTTGATCCTGCGGGGCCATAAGTCCTTGGCATCTTCTCTAGGGTTCTGGGCCTGTTCTACCCAGATGGCTGATGTTGGGGCCCCTCTGACATGTGGTCAGTGGCCCAGAAATGTGCTTTAGTTGTCAAAATGATGGGGTTGCTTCCCAAAATGAAGTGTTGTTTGCATGACATATCAGATAGAGCTTCCCATTCAGCATCTCCAAGATAGTCTCAAAATCAGGCCTGAGGGGCCCACAGTGTTCCTAAGACCTCTGGGGGACTCTGTTCATGAGAACTTCTTGGTGGCTATGACATAGGCCAGGGAGAACAAGGGTTTTTATCACTGTCCCTCCTTCTGTTTTGTGTGGTTAAATCACACCCGGAGCCCATTCTATTCTTAGAGGCACCTGTGCTGATAGTACGGTACATTTTTCCCCTCCCTTCAAGTTGACTACTAAGAGAATTAGAGAGTTCATGCATGAGGAAGGGCCTTTGGGTTTTTGGGGGGAATTGGGGTTAGGGGAGAGTTGATGACTATAGGTTAGTGAAGCATTTTTCCACTTTATGTGCTGCCTTTTAGAATTAGAGGTCTGTTGGCCTTACACTTTTTTTTTTTTTTTTTTTGAGTTGGAGTCTCACTCTGTCGCCCAGACTGGAGTGCAGTGGCCGCTCCCAGCCACCGCAGCCTCG